CTGCTGCTGCAGTAGCAGGTGGAGGGCCTGCTGCTTCTCCTGCAGAAGCAGCAGCAGCAAGTGAAACATATCCTGAACCTGCTGCAGCAGAGCCTGCTGCTACTGGTTCTGGGTGGCCAGCAGCAGCATCAGCAGCATCAGCAGCATCAGCAGCAGCTGCTGCAGCTGCTGCAGCAGCTGCAGCACGATCAGCGCCAGTGCTCGCGTCTGTGAGAGACAGCAGCAGCAGCAGCGCCGCTACATGCTGGCAGATGTAGTAGGATCTGTGCAGCCCACAGCAGCACCCATGTTCCAAATCCTGCTGCTGCTGCTGCTGCTGCAGCAGCAGCTGCTGCTGCTGCTGCTGCTCCGGCTGCAGCTGCTGCTGCTGCTGCTGCTCCGGCTGCAACTGCTGCTGCTGCTGCTGTTGCTGCTGCTGCTGCTGCTGCTGCTGCTTTGGTATGAAACGCAGGTAAACAAGATGCTTGTGGTTCTTCTCTGATGCACTCGGCATCAGCAGCTCAACCTGCAGCGTTTTGCTTCCTCTTACATTCTGCCACCGTACCCCAAGCGGGCTGCTGCGGGGGCCCCCTAGAGGGGCCCCCAGGGGGGCCCCCGTAGCAAGCTGCCCATGAAACCCCGCAGAAGACCCCGTGGGGGGCCCCTTCGGGGGGCCCCCAGGCCGCGCCGCGGGGGCCCCTTCGGCTGTGGGCACCGCCTCAGAAACAGCTCTCTCATGCAGGGGCCCCTCAGGGGCCCCCAGCGAAGACCCCGAGGGGGGGGGCCCCCACAGCAGCTGTATATTTGCTGCTATTGATATTCCCTCTCTCTCTAACACTGGCCATGCACGATGAAGGGTACTGACTGGTAGTGCTGCTGGTGCTGCTGTTGCTTCTGCTTCTGCTGCTGCTGCTGCTGCTGCTGCTGCTGCAGAAGCAAGAGCAGCCGAGACCGCGCCCTCATATGCTGGACAAGCACCTGATACGTTTCTGGTGGTTTGTGGTTTTTTGCTTTTTTGCGGCTGAGACGATTGGCTTATCGACGAACTCATCTGCAGCAGTGAAAAACCCTAAACCCTAAACCCTAAACCCTAAACCCTCATCGCCCCCCACAAAACCCTGAACCCCTGGCTATGCAAACCACCATTGCCTAGGGTTTATATTTCTAGTTTTGGGGCTTCAGCACGAGGTAGGGGCCTCAGGTAGTCAGGAGTAGAGTGAGCTGATCTGCTGCTGGTGCTGCTGCTGCAGCACGAACCTCAATCCTGCTGCTGCAGCCGTGTCTGTCGTTGCGGGCTATTCATGCCACTGCTGCTGCTGCTGCTGCTGCTGCTGCTTCTGTAGCAGCAGCTGCTGCTGAAACAGAAGTCGCGAGATATGCTACCGCTGCGTCGGCTGCTGCTGCTGTTGCTGTTGCTGCTGCTTTGGGCCCCACTTGTTGGGTGAATCCTTTCTTTGCAGTGGGATCAAGAAGCAAAGAATTTCTCTGTAAGTTTATATTTCATATACAGCTGGTGGGTGAGAAGAGTGGCGTTTGTTTGGTTGGGTAATATGTAGCGGTGCGGTGAGCCCTAGCTCTCTCGTTCTGCTGGTGAGGGGCCAGAGCATCGGCTGTGTATTTATTGAAGGAAATAAATGAGGTTAAATATGTATTTAAATGTAATAATTACTCTTGTTTCTGCATGTACACCCGGAAAGAAGGAAAGATGCAACTACCAGCCAAGCGAACCACCGGCGCGTCAGCCATAGGCAGGGTAGAGAAGAGAGCGAGAAAAAGGGAGAAACTTTATAAAATTCTTAAACTTTATTAAAACTATTCATCATAATTATTAAACTCAACTAAATAACAGTAACTGAACTCAAAGAAACCCCGGACATATCAGGGGGCCCCACGGCTGTTTCACGGGGAGGGGCCCCAGCAGCAACGGCAGCCGAGGCGAGGCGTATTGCAAAACCAAAAAAAAAAAAAAAAAAAAAAAAAAAAAAAAAAAAAAAAAAAAAAAAAAAAAAAAAAAAAAAAAAAAAAAGGTATATGTTGGCTCATAGCTTAAGAAAAAGGTGTTTATCGAGCAAACAAAATAAGTTTTTTGTTGAAATAGTTTCAAGCAAACTACTTCGCTTTCCATCGTTTTTTTGTTTTGCGTTTATATACATACACATACATATACACAGCTGAGATAGATAGATACATGAACATAATCCTTATCCTTCTTGTTCAGTATCTCTCTCTGTATATGTTATGTGAACGCTTTCAATAGGAAAGCTGATGAATTCTATAGAAAACACTTTCAGCAAACATACACACAGCTTGTTCGTCAAGAAAAACATGAATTGCCTCACCCCAT